TTGCTGCACATAAAATCTTTCAAAGCACAATGCTGCATAATTTGACCAAAAACCTCTGAGAAGATAGACATCACTTATCTTGGATCATGCATTCTAGGTTTCATGTTTTGCTACAGTAGCCCAAGGGTGCATGATAAGAAATAGCCCTGTACAACATTTCCAAATATGGCTGCATTAAGTTTGAAACTGAGAAGGTAATGCAAATGTAACAGTACTGCCCCAAAATTCAGCCTTTTCTTTCTGATAGTTGGTGAAACTTAAAATACAACCAATTCTCAGTAAATAAGTATACACATTATAGGGCAGATCCCAGCTGGAGTAGCTCCACCCAAGTTGAAAGAGCTATCTCAATTTACACCAGCTAAGGTTCTGGCTCTTCACTGTGTAAAAGAAAAGAGAACATGAGGTCAACAGCATCTAAATTCAGAGGGGTAACTCGACATTCAGAAATGAAAGGTAAATGTAAAATAAACTAAAGCTATCACTAGATTAGAGCGAGAAACTATAATTGGATTAGAGATAATAGAAGCCCAGCTTTCCCTGCTACTCTGATCCACCTCCCTAGTTACACTACCTCAGTTTTCTTCTGTCAGCTGTCCTCTGCTACCCCAGTATATCTGCAGTATTTTGTATTCTGTCCTTGTCCTTATCATACTGCTCAGGCTGTGCTGGCATGTTGTTGCTTCCCAGTCCCAGGTTAGCTCACTAGTTCTTTATATTCTTAGGGACTTTATAATTGGAAATACATGTTATAGCAATTATTGTAAAGTATTTATAACCTATTAGCATGTTTTTATAGTCAATTGTCAATTACAAGTTATGCTGCAATACAGGCTCTGACACACACACATATATTTAGTTGTATAACAAATGTACAGCTCTCTATTTTCAGAATGTTCTCAACTCTTTGTGAAATCCAAAAATGTAAGATTATTCCATCCCCATGCACATTAGGCATAATGGAGTTACTCTCTGCACAGGTTGAGACAGTGGCAAAGTAGGAGAGAGAAATCTTACAACAAACTATCTTCTCACCCAAAAACTGATCATCGCAAGAGCATTGGTGGCTAATTCCTAGGGGGTGACTTTTTTTTCCTATGCTGCCACCAAAAAAAACCCTTATTTTGTCTTGATTAAAATATTCATGAATTAAGTTGTTTCCAGGGGTAGTTTGGCAGAGGATGCTTGGCATGGTTAAAACATATTGTCCTATCTGGTAAAGAGCCCAACACCACTAAGAATCTGTATTCTCAGTTTTCTCACAATGAACAGCCGTTTTCTCATTCTGGTGCTCATAAGGTATCAGGCCCCTAAACTATACCATTTTGCTAACCATCACACCTCTCCTCAGTTAAGTTCTGACCAAATATTTTGTGGCTCCTATCCCATGAACTATCTCCAGAGTTAGTCAGTGCTGCATGTCTTCTGAAATCTTAACACTACATTTTTCAACTGGTGTAAAGCTTTAATCTCTAATTTTAGAGCCCATGAGAATACAGGCTGAAATCACTCTGGAACTGCTGTGTAGGTGGGAGTGAGGTGCAGCAATAGTGATCAGAATTCCCTACATAAAAGAGAAGGCGTCAACTAACTTTTTCATTATTTTCATTACCAAATGTTCAGAGTTTTCACAAGACTGAGCTGATATTATCTATTGTTTTTATTTGAGGCTCCTCTTTGTCTCTGCTGGAACTCTGTGGTTTCTCGTCACACTCAATTTAATTCTGTTCTACACTTACTTGTTCCTCCCTGCCTTCCAGACAGATTCCCAATTTACTAGAGGGGACCTGTTGAGTGCATTGCTTTCTTAATCTGCGGTGGCTCAGGGCATAAAGGACCAAGACTAGAAATAGGAGACAGGTTTACATCTGACAGGTTTTTCACAGTGCAGAAAATGACCACTGTGCTTACCCACCCGTTTTGTTTTTTTTTAAATGGCAAACTCTGTTGTGGCTTTGGAACTATGAAATCCATAGAGCTGTTGCTCTATACATTGCATCATGGCCAAAAACTCTGTTTCCCAGGATTACGTGTGCATCACAATGGAGGAAGCTGAAGATCAAAGTTGAAAATCAAAGCTGCAGATCAAAGAAAAGTGTCACCTTTCATGTGATGCGCACACACATTCTGGGAAGTAAATGCTTATCTCTGAAAAACACTACATCAGGGAGAAATTAGTAAAAATGCTCCAGAACCAGAACACTAAAAACAGAAATACCAACATGGACATGGGTAGAGGTTTGTTCCCTAAAGATCTAATAGAAAATATACTAATTGCAGACATAGTGGTCAGAGGTGAGGGGTTTCTTAGCTACATTTAGTTCTCCCTTATGACGATTCTGTCTCACAAGCAATAAATGAAAAAAGATCAACCTGTGAAATACAACCCTTCTTGTTATCCAACTGACAAAATAATCAAGTGCTTGCTTGCCTCAGCATTTTACATGTTTCAGCGAACAGAATGCTTTTGTATTCATTTAGTCAAGTGTTAAATATGTTCAAGGCCTTGAGAACAGCATTTCAGAGCTGCTGTCTGGAACACATTTCTGTGATGAAATTATTTGTCAGCTGATGATTGCTGGAAATAGAACAGACATTATTTACTTCAAATCACTGGATTTTTTTTAACACAGCAACAGGGAAAGAAATAATTGCACAAGATCAGTATTTAAAACTTAACTAAATACACAGAGAACTAGCTATCCAGCTTCTATTATGGGAGTTATTTGCCTAATTCCTACATACAATGAACTTATATTTTACTCCAGTGTTTTATACAAATATTTGCTAATAAAACCTTTTGCAAGAATTCTTGGTGGGACAAAAACAGTCGTGGTTTTGGGGAACAAATCCACTGACACCAATGGCAGTTTGCTTACCCCTCAAATATCTTTTAATTAGACAGATGCTCTTAGAGGTTTTTGAAGCTACTGTGACTAGCTTTGGTCAGTTTTCTCATGATTTTGTCATAATGGAACATCAAAAATACACAATTCTATTTGACTGTCCAATCACCCAGCCCAGAAATAGTCAGTTTGTAAAATATAGTAATTACTGTTACCTTATACAAGATTTATTATTAATGCAATATAGTATTTGCAAATATTTTACTTAAATAGATAAAATGTATCATGGTAGAATACATAGTAAACTAAATCAATCCATTATTGAGAAGTAAATTCTCAGTGCTTCCCTTGTTAATCACTTTAAGAAATTGTATTGTTATATAAGCACTTACAGAAGTAAAATAATTCTGCTAGATGGCTAGTATCTTTGTGTCCAGTAACACATGAGTGACAAATGTGGTGTTTGCCATTTTCATTTGTTATACCGAAATACTCAGTACTTGGAATTCTTCTGTTCATTAACAGGAAACTAAGCAGCATGGTTTTCATATCAAATTCCATTCCAAGGGATTGTTACATCCTTCTGGATTCATGTGTAGTTAACAATATAGCACACAGTTACTTAGACTGTTCACTTCCTAAAACACACCAAGACTCGGAAAAGTCTGACCTCAGAAGTTCAAAACGACACTTGTGTTACCCATTACTTACCTGATAAGACCTTTCATGAGTCATTAATCTTCATCTGGGTAAGATAAAATCCAGCATGCTACAGTACAACCAGACACCTTTACTGCAATTACACAGAATGACTGTTCTGTGCTGCCAAAAAAAAGAAAAAAGTGTTCTACTGTCTGGAAAAAAAAATAAAAATTCTATGCCAAACTTTTAATTAGTCATTCATTTTCAGCCTGTCTCCAACACAGGAAGTCTTTGGATACATGATAATTTTAAAAAGGAAAAATCATTTAATTTTGATTGAGACGTTGGTTTGCTGCCCTCAATGAAACTTTAAGAATGACTCCCAAAGCTTCATTATTTAACCTAAGAGAAGGCTTTAGTAAATGACCCAGCCTTACTGCTCTTTTCCATACACTAATTCCCATATGAAATTCAATATTCTGCTGCTTTTTCCAACTCTGTGGGTTGTCAGTTGTAGTATTTGGTAATCAGATGAATATGCAGAGTTCTACATTAGAGTGTAAAATTGTTTCCTTTGAAGCAGGGTCTTTTCAAAATGTGGTATGTGTTTAATAGTCAATGACCTGTGTGGAGGGATGGGGAGGTGTTATAAAATGGGTGTTATGAAAGGAAGCTTTTAAGGCTGGGTCTACACTACAAACTTATTTTGGTATAAGCAACTCTGTCACTCACGGGTGTGAAAAATCCACACCCCTGAGTGATGCAGTTATACCAACCTAATCCCCACTGTAGACAGCACTATGTCAACAGGAGAGCTTTTCCTGTTCACATAGCTACTGCCTCTCGTGGAGGTGGATTAATTGCGCCGACAGGAGAAGCTCTCCCATTGGCGTAGTAGTGTTTTCACTGAAGCGCTACAGCTATCCGGCTGCACCATCACAGCATTTTAAGTGTAGACCTGCCCCAATTGTCTAGAGCAGCCTTAGAATGAAACTATCCATGAGAACTGTGCAAAATCGGGATTATTTAAATCTGCTTCCAGAAACTATTGTAGAATTATTAGGGCTGTAGATTAATCGCAGTTAACTCACGCTATTAACTTAAAAAAATTAATCGTGATTAATCACATATTGTAATCTGCAAGCAAAAAAGCGTAGATATGACTTGGATTAAAGTATGCAAGCTGTGTTTGCATATGGAAACTGGATAGTTAGATTATTTACATATGCAAAGGCAATTTGTGGACAAAAATCAGCTTTTGTGTACACAGATATGAGTCGGAAAAAACTTTGGGCATGAAAAATGGTTAGATTTAGGCCCCTTTGAAAACATAGATTTATTGAGCTATCTGTTTAGGATGTACAACCATTTTTAAAGCAATATACTTTGTGTGATTAGCGGTTGAGCCTTAGCTGTCTGTCTCATAATGCACTGAAATATTTAAATGCACAACTCTGTGTACAGCATTTTACGTAACTGATCATTGGTTTGTTCCTCTCTATTCATTTCTAGAAGAGATATGTACATTAGTAATTGCAGAGACTTTTCCTGAAGATGCAGGAACCTTCACATGCACAGCAACAAATGAATATGGGTCAGTGACAAGCAGTGCACAACTTACCGTCTGCTCAGGTATGTGTCAAAAGGACAGAAGAACTGTATATTGCTGTTCTTAGCTAGTCTAACGTATATGACATCTGGGCAGTTATCTGGCTACTTCCTTTGTAGAAAATAGTTGCTGCAAGACAGAGATTTTGTTTAGGCAACTTCTTGCTGCATCTCCTGTTCAATCTCTGTGTGAGTCTTCCCACATCTTCCAGCACTGACTGATTACGTTCTGAGTCTGAAAGCTGTCCTTAATGGAGATGTGGGAAGGCTATTGCATTTATCCTCAAAAGACATTTAAAAAGGAGCCATACAGACTCCTATAAATCTTTTCCAGAAATCCAGCTGCTAATAGAGAGGGTCAAGTACTATCAAGTAGCTGCAGCTGAATCAGAGTTGCCTCTTCATGCAGCAATGCAGACAGACATGTGAACACTCTTTTAATGTGCTTAGTGAGCCTAAAAAACCACAGGGGAATAAAATAAACAAAAAGATGTTATTTAAGCAGCCAAAGTGTTAATGAAAGGGATGATTATAAAGCAATATGAACATGAAAAAGTAACATCACAAGGGAATTATGAAGAAAATATCAAGTAGAAATGGGATTGAATAAATAGAACCCTAAAGAATAAATAGCTGGAGTAAAATGTGTGAAAGCCAGAAATCAAACCAGTCAAAAGGCTGTTATTTGTTTAGGTTAGATATTAGGAAAAGCTTTTTAACTATAAGGGTAGTTAAATTCTGGAATAGGACTCCAAGGGAGGCAGTGGAATCCCCATCACTGGAGGTTTTTAAGAACAGGTTAGATAAATATCTGTCAGGGATTACTTGGTTCTGCCTCAGCACTGGGGGCTCAGCTGGATGACCTCTCGTCATTTCTATGATTCTGTGATTTATGTTCATTAAAATGTGTCTGTTACTCTCTTGATACAAGAAATAATTTTTTTTTAAGGAACTTAAACTTAAGTCTATTGAAAAGTTCTCAGTACTAAAACCAGCAACCCACAAAAATGAATCCAATCCATACCATCTTTATTACCCCCCTGTTAGAGCACGCTTCTTAGTGGGTCATGTAGGGAATTTTTTCTTGCAACTAAGTCAAATGACTGAGATGCTAGGAAACCTCAGTTCTATTTCCAGCTCTGTCACTGGTGTCCAGTGTGATCTTGGGCTAATCACACACATTTTTGAGGCTAATGTGTCTCATCCATAAAGTGGGGAAAATATCTACCTAGTTGATGGATGAAGCTATATTACAAAGTGTGTTGCCATACTCTGATGGAATGCACCAAATGGAACAAAATTTTAGTTTGTTTCTTAATAATAATTTTTATTTATGCAAGATAGGTTTAGAAAAATAATGTAACCAAGTTTAGACAGATTCCTTAACATCAGAACTCTGAGGCTAGATGGCAGCAGAAGCAAAAAGAAAATAGATGAAATTATGCTGACAAAAATGAAAATAAAATCCTTATATTTTATGTAAAATTTAAAACAGAAATGCAGGCAGTTAAGTTTTGGAGTATACTAACCACTCACATGTATGTTGTTGAATATGTGCAGTGAATGCTAACAAAATTCCAACGCAGGCAATTCATTCAGGTGGCTGTCCTTGAATAACTGTAAATCATTCATTCCTACCTAGCAACTATTCCACCTGCATCATGGGTAGTTAGGAAATGAATAGTCAGTAGCATATCTAATTTGGCGTGAATATTTGTGAGAGCTTCAGAAAGAATATCCAGCTGGCGTAGTTATGATATATAACAAAAGTGAAGTGATCTCACCGTTAATGAACTAAAAGCACACTGTGCATATGTGTTGAAGTATCTGTTATGTAGTTTGAATATGACTTGTTGGACAGGGATTATCTTCCTTTTTGTTTTAGCCAACTCTGAAAGCTCTAGCCATGAGCTGTCAACAAGAGAATCCAACAGTGATGATTTCCAACATTTCCCACCTCCCCCTCCAGTTCTTGAGATTAGTTCTCTTGAGCTTCCTCCAAAGAAGCATACAGAGAGCCAACAGGTGAACAACACAGAATTTAGACCCAACATAGCAGCCGTTCAGTTACAGCTCAACTCTGCTGAGAAGAAAACCAATGGCATCCATCCCAGTCATGAAGCAAATGGAGTGATTAACAGCAAAGCTAGTAGTGATAAATCTGCCCCAGCTCCAGATGTCCTGCTTTCACCCACAAAGGAACCACCACCAGTCCTTGCCAAACCAAAGCTGTGAGTATTTCTGCATGGTTTTTATTCTTCCTTTCTAAATTGCTGGCTGTTGAAAGCAAACCTTCTGCCCTAGAACCATTGTGTGTTTAAACAAATAATGGCCAGAACTGTGACTATACCTCGATTAATGTGTCTTTCTCATTGATATGGATTAAATTCCAAGCAGCTGAGTACAAGAAGACCCATGTAGTTCATTTTAAAATCATACCAAATGAAAGGATATTACAACTTTTGTTATTCTTGGTATATTACGTTAAAGCCGCAAAACAAAAGAAATTCAGGTTAATGGCTGGTGTTCTAGTCTTTTATTCAATCACTTGTACCTAATTGTACCTAAACTCAGGGAAAAATTTTATTGACTTCAGTAGAAACCCTGGAAAACTCTCACTGATAAGTGCTGCAGGGCTTGTTCTAAAGTCCAAATTTTTTCCAATTGTGTGTCTGTTTTCATCAGCCATGCAAAGCCTTGTGTCTACCGGGTGCTGTGTTTCATAGGTTTTTTTTCTACAATGGGTATGGTGACTTGTGAATTTACAGCTGGCCAAAACCAAAAGAACCATTCTGATCAATGGCCTGTAACAAGGTACTAATGAGGAGAAGTAACGCATTGAGAACCATTGGTAGAATCAAGTGAGTGATATTTGGTTTCTGCTTATGTTCAATAGTCTATAAAAATGATAAATTTATATTTAACTATAAAGATGATACAGCCAAAAAGAAGTAGCAATGATGTGGTTCAGTGGTTTATGAATGCAGAGGAGACTTACTGCTTCAATGAAATATTGATAACATTATTTGTAGTGGCTTGTCCAAAATAATGTGTGTTAACTGTATTCAGGTGACTGTAAGTAAGAGAAACTTAAGCACTAGTGATTAGCAGGCTACAACAGCTGTTCTTACCTTAATGAAGTTTGAAATCCTTCAGTATTTAGTTCATGGTCAGAACTATTACTGGTATATTAAAAACATAATCTTCCTAATTATTTTCTGCATGTCTATGAAAAGCAGACAAAACAGTTCTGTGGTCATTAAAAGGAGGATGAGTGGCTTAGGCACAAGGTTTTAGAATGACATCATGATTCTTTTTTGAGCCAGAATTTCATCACATAGTTCAGGTGCAGAAGAACTTGGCTTTTTGTTTTTACAGTTACACACTAATTGGTGTGGGTGTGCTTGTGGATATGTATTTGGAGGAGGGAAGGGCTATACTGAAATTCAGAAGATGACATGTTCTAGCTGCAGACTCTAACTGAATATTCACATTATGGTATCAATACAAAATCCAGGAATTTAAAGTCATTATAAGAAAAACTTCTGTTAAATCTAAAATTTTTGTAAGCCTACTAAAATAAAGCCTTCATCTTGTGAAATATGTTCTCAGCATACATCTCCTCATATGTTTACAGTATAGTTTCCATTGTTCTAGTTTCCCTTCCTTTGTAAGTGGCAGGATCCACTGAGGACAGAGACAAGCATTAGAGGCAATCTGTCCTGCCCGAAATGAAATGTGAAAAAGTAAGAGCAGACTTGAGCTGCTCCCTCACACCTTCTCATGCTCAAACCCAGAGCATGCTAAAGTGTCCCGGGCTTAAACATCCTGTTTAAACTCAAGACCCTACCAGGCCCTTGTTATTTCAATGCCTACAGTCCAGAGCAGGCTACTGCAAGAAGAAACCACCTAGCCTAGCCATCAAAGGTTAGGCCTTCTGAATCCAGCCCTCTTTTCCACAAGAGATAGATTAATGTCTCATTTGTGGAGGAAAAAGTATTACCCTTAACTTTGGATTTGTGCCATCCCCCAATACTTAGTTCCTCTCAGCAGGGATAGAACTTCTTCTGCCACTGCCACGTGCCTAAAGTTGTGACCCTGTGAAACAAACATCAAGTCAGTGAACCATGACACCATGCATACTGAGCAAATAGGCTGTACCTGTGAAAGAGGAAACCAGCACAATTGCTTTAAAGTCCAAGTGTGCCTGTGCAATGTGAATGTGTGCAGTTGTTTTTAAATCCTGGATGAGATGCTGTGCTGTACTAAGAGAGGAGCAGAGATCTTGCAACGTAGGGGGAGAGGAGGGGCTAAAGTGGCTGTAAGACACCTTTACACCCTGCTGATTCTGCCCTGCTCTGGGGGCCAAAGTGGTCCACAGCATAACTTAGACAGCATTGGGAGCTGCCTATGGTGGCAGTGCACCCTAGAATCTGTGCAGCACTATATTCTGCAGCTACAGTCTTGATGCCCCTACCATCTGGGCTCCTACACCAGGGTTTGCAAGAGGGTCCACCAAAAACAGCTTGCAGCTTTCTGCACAGAGAGAATTCTCCACCAGTCAGATTCAGGGCTTTTAGAGCGCTTTACATCCCTCCAGCACCTTTACCCAGCATACAAGGGTCAGAGTGGGAGTGAGAATGTACCCTCACAAACAGATAACACGCTACAGTAACGTGATGTACAACCTGCAACCACACACAAACAGAGAGGAATGAGGCAATAGAAGTCAGCATGCAATAACCCAAAAGAAAAGGGGAGAGAGGTGATATTTTCATGGCCAGGGAAGGGGAGTATTGCAGGAAGAGGCCTATTTCCAGCTGGTGCCACCTTTTACAAGCAGTACTCGGCCACCTCCTGGACAATTGCTGTGCTACTTAGAGATATTGGGATTGATCAATCGTAGCCCCCAGAGCTACAGCTGGTCTCCAGGAGCTCTGACACTGCCCAAAGGAATTTGGCCCACCCTCTTGGCCCTTGCCCTGCTCACTAAAGATTAATATTTCCTGAGATAATGGGCTCTCCTGTGCATTTATGCACCCATCCCTCTTCACCTCAATTAAATAGAGGTAGACCATAAATAAAATCCAGACTACCAAAAACCTGTGTCTAATCAGTAACCTCACACCGAAAAGTATGGTTTAATTGTTCAGATCTGAAATAATTGTATTCAAATGACTACTTTGGGCAGACTGCATTTTTTTAATCCGCATTCAACATCAGTGCCACTGGAGAGGAACTAACCACCACAGAAATACAAGAAATACCGGAGATTAGTAGAGCGCAGTGAGGAAAAACGCTTTCCCAGAATTATAGCTTTTCCCCCTTACATTCATGTCCCATTTCTCCAGCCCAGATGAGTTGATCTCACCCTGTCTTATATCCTGGGCTTGTGGCACTATAGTAAATTAATTCTACAAAACTGTTACCCAACAGCTAACATGATTATTTCATTTTCCAATGCCGTTGGATTTATAGTATTCACAAGCAAAAATCTCACATTCTCTGAAGCCCAATATATATTCCCAGAAAAAGAAATGTTATGATGAAAATGGGGTTGGGAGTATGTATCAATAATGCAAGAATAACCGACTCATTACAAGGATGTTGTAATTATCCCAGAACCAAATGTTACAAACTCAGGAAATTCAGACTTAAAAGAAATCCAAACAAGATATAAAAAATGCACTCTTAAGAGAAACAAGGTGGGTGAGGTAATAGCTTTTATTGGATCAACTTCTGTTGGTGAGAGAAACAAGCAACTCTTGGTTGGAAGTTGCTCCAATAAAAGCTATTACCTCACTCACCTTGTCTCTCTAATATCCTGGGACCAACATGGGTACAACACTATTAAGGCACTGACATTAAAAGACACTTTTTTTTTCTCCTTCATGATATCACTACAGGACAGAGTTTGGTATCTTAACTGTGCATTTCTTACCTTAATATGTTTGGATTTCTTTTAAGTGTAACCTTTACTCTGAATTTCCTGGGTTTGTAACTCTTGGGTTTGGGATAATTACAGAATCCCTGTAATGTTTTTTTATTCTATGTTACTGACACACACTCTCAACATCAACACCACCTTAATGCAGGTTTTTGTTTGTGTGGGGGCTTTTTGGCAGGGAATTTCCTTAATGTGTTTAAATTTATTGAAAATGACATACACTAGCACTAAATAAGAAACCCAAAGAGTATGCTACCCTGCAATATTTTTAACATCTTGATGATATGTAGTATTAATCTTAAATTGTTGTTTTTTATTATGTCACTTTTGAGAAATGATTCATCAGTACAATAAACTAGCCAGAGTAAACCAAGCCAGTTGATCTAGGTTTACACTTGCTTTGCGTCACCACGGAAGCCCAAAGCAGCCGAAGTGTACTGGTGAATCTGGCCCTTAATTTGCAATTGACTTACGGGTTTCAAGATCTATATTAGTAAGACTGGTGCTATGTTAAAGGGGAGGTAGGAGACTCAGTCCCTGAGTCTCAATATCTCGAGATAGTATGGGCTCCCCTGGGCTCCTGCCTCAGTTTCCCCAGCAGTACTACCTCAGTGTGCAGTGGTGCAGAGGAAGTAGTGCTACAGGAAGTCTTTCAAGAACTGATATCCAAGCTAGTATGCAGTCACAGAATCTCTGAAGAGCAATGACAATTGGGCCCAGTATTCTGTCAATAAGTACTTTGGTTACCTGTGACCAGTCTCCTTCATAGAATCACTTCCTTCCTCTACAGCTAATTTGCATGATGTTGATTGGTAGTTACCTCTGGCGTCACAATAGCCCCATTTAAAATTGACCTACATTTTTGACCTGTCTGTCTGGCTAACCTATATAATCATAGCAATTGGATTCACTTGTTAATGGTTTATTTTAATAACCTAATTTCTTCAAATATAACCTGTGCATAAGATTTCAATTAATTTTAACTATATGAAAAGTTTGAAGTGGAATCCATTTTGAAGCACTTGGAGGAGAGGAAGGTGGTCAGGAAGAGTCAACATGGATTCACCAAGGGCAAGTCACGTCTGACCAACCTGATTGCCTTCTATGATGAGATACCTGGCTCTGTGGATATGGGGAAAGCAATGGATGTAATATATCTTGACTTCAGCAAAGCTTTTGATACGGTCTCCAACAGTATTCTTGCCAGCAAGTTAAAGAAGTATGGATTGGATGAATGGACAATAAGCTGGATAGAAAGCTGGCTAGATTGTCGGGCTCAATGGG